CCCAGGCTTGCACGCAGATGGGAAAACAACCGATATTGGTTTTAGGACAATCCTTTTTGCTTGAATCTTGGAATATTTCCTAAGTAAGCCGTCTCTTTGGTACCAAATAGAGGGCAAGTAACACATTATTCATTTGGGGGATCTTATGTTTGCTACGAATCAATGACGAAGGAACCCATTTTTTACCCTGCTCCCTTCAAACCGCTTTTTTCTCCTCGCCTTCTTCTCTTTTTCCTCCCACTTGATTCTTGCCGTCGCATTTCTTCAATTTCATTTGTGCGAAATCGTGTCATGATCAGTCTTCAAGATTTCATAAGCCTTGCTTCTTCACTCTTCCATCTCTATTTTTCCCATTCACAATCTTCCTTTCATGCTTCATCGTTGATGCATGTGGCAGATTTGTCAGGTGCTATGATGGAAAAAAGAGAAATTGGTGAGAAGAAGCAAAACCTTCTCAGTTTGCAGATTAGAATCGAGGTCAGAAGATACTAATAGTGTTGCGTAACTGAGCTTTGGAAAAGAGGCGAAATTTCGCTGTACTCTTTGAGCATCTCTAAAAGTATTAGAAAACTGAATTTAGATCAAAGCAGTGTATCATTTCAGACTGAGACAGTGGCAAAAAAAAATAGAACGCCAAATTTCTATCCTATCGGCGGAAAGCACAAATTTTTTTCTTGCTTTGGGTATGGAACTGAATGCATAGCCTTGAATGTGGCTTTAGCAAAATTTTTAGAATGAAGAATATACCTCGAGTCATTTGTAGCTCAATACGTGAGTCTGCACAATATGCGCGGCAACCGACACACCTCTACTAGTAATTGCTAGCGTAACAAATTATGTGAAATGCTCTACTAACTAATACATATTCAGTCAAATAGAAAGAGACAAGGAAACAAGGAGACATCAATGGAATTGTACATTTAGAAATCCTTTGAGTCGTCAAGTAGCGCGCATAGTGTGCAGTACGCATTTTAACAAATGACTCAGCGATATAAATATTGTTCGCTATTTAGTATCTTTTATTACATTTTTAAGAAAAAGTGGTAGTTGGAATGAATCCAAGAGTTTAAAATAAAATTGCAGTCGCAGTCGTACCATTACACGGAGCAATGGAAGCCTATAAACTTAATGAAATTGCGGTCTTTAACTCTTCCAAAAATACTTATATTTGCTGCTTTGAGCTTTGTCAAGTAATTTACTGAATTTTGGACAGTCTTTCGAGAAATCAAACTCTAGTGCGATTAATTCCATAAAAACGAGATTTGGCGACAATTTTATGATCCTCCGTGCATCAGATCAGGCATGGTGCAAAACAATCATGCCTTGCATAACCAGAAAACAATTCAGTGGCTGGAAAATAAGCGCCACTCATGTGTCTGCTCAGCTGGAAAACATCGAAAGTGGTGCGCGGTCCACCTCGCGTTCACTATGGAATTATCCCATCGCCGAACGTGGACCCACTTGAACGCATTGTTTGCTTTCTTGCATAGCGAAATATGTTCACTATGGTTGAATATATTGCCGTAGATTTTAGACGCACCATTTCATGGTAGACTTGAGATGAGTGCTGTTTACAATAACAATTTTGCGAAACAGAGACTTCACCTGCACTATTTTATGTTTCTTTCAGTTTTTAGTCATCTTTAATTGTATAACATTGACCATAGTCGTATTTGAACAGTAAATCTTCATTAAAACTCTGCTGGGATCAAAAATGGTAGGGTTCGTGCTACATTTCTGCAGTCCGAGTTTCCTTGGGAGAAGGAAAACATTTTTTGAATGAAGTGGCGCGGCGTTAGGCCTCGAGCACAGTTCACACGATTTCATCGCCTCGCGATTCTCCTAACAAGACAACTGTTACGAGTCCATTGCATGCCATTCCTTCTGCATTTCGGTTGCGGTAGTTTACCGACACTATCAGTCGTGACTAACTACCACAGCCAATGCAATGTGTCGACATGCAATGGGCTCGTAACACTTGTCGGGAGAAACGTGAGGCGACGAAAATCGCGTGAACCATGCCCGAGGCCTTAGCTGCTCTTTCCAAAAAAGTGCTAATGCTTTCCAAATTGGTTTCAACCTTAGGAATTTCTAGAAAGGGATGTAGCAGCCAAGTGCGCGAAAATGAATTAGATTTTGACTAATACAAGTAAAAACAAACCATCTGCAAATTTACTCCCCCTTCCCCCCCTTCCCGAGCCGCCACTGTTGGAGTACGACTTTTTATATTATATGACGCAGTTGAGTATGTGCAAATACACAAACTGCTGCCAGTGTCTTCTGTACTGTAAACAGAGATATGTTCGTAGCACTTCTTATCTCACTTGCATATCATCTCTATATGTTAACCTTTATCTAGCTTTGTACTTTTGTTTTCGATAAGGTTATTATGAGCACCTCATTTGCTACCAAGCCGCTTCTTTACAGGCTTGCGGTGATGAAGACGATGGCTTTTTGCATCTACATTCTAGTAGATTCTATTGGTGACATAGCGTACTTGCACTGCAGACTTCAATTAGACGTAAAAAATGGTAATGGAGCGGGTAGATGTAAAATCAAGGGCGTACCTTTGTACTCTATCTAATATATCTATCTAATATATAAATAATCAATTAAATACAATTCAAAAATCTGCAAATGGCGGGAAACCGCGTGGCGGTCGGGAAACGAACTCTCCTCCAAATAGCACCCGTAGATTACTGGTTCACTAGTTGCAAACCTTTTCATTTTTTGGCCATGCTTACCCGGAAAAGAGATGGTAAGCTGCGCGTTACCAGCCCGACTTGTGCTACCATTCATATCAAGGCTCGGAGGTAAACGCTATGACTATCTCCCAAGCGATATTGTCTGCAACTACACCACATCCGCCAAGAGCGAAAAGACTATATTTTCCTTATGGTACGGTTGTCAAACAAAAGTGCGGGAACTTTCGCTGCGATTGACACCCATCCATAGAGAAACCCGTACAGCCGATACGATTCCCAAGGTCCCAAACACTTGAACGATGACGGTCGGCGAGCTGCGACGGCGCGCGGTAGTCGCCGTTCGTCGTATCGATCGATCACGCGTTCGTTCGTGTGTGCGCGGCTGTGACGCGACCACGACGACTAATTGCACAACGGCTAATTACTCCAGCACGGAAAATCGCTGGCCATTATTGCTTGCGTTGCCGGTCATTCACGTTTTTCGCATTGTCCGCTTCTTCTGCGGCTTGGCTGTTGTTCGAGCGTCTCGCCGGCGTTCGAACGCAATCACCCGATCGATGGCGATCGCTAATGTTCGCATCGTGTTGTCCGGCACTGTGTGTTGCATATCGTTTGGCTTTTCGACGCTGCTTCTCAAAATTCCTTCCTTTTTTGGGTCCTTCTCTTCTTCTTCCTAGAGTGCTTATGCACTGATGAACTGTAGCAAAATCTTCATAAATCCATGCAACTATACTTTCTAAGTTGTCCTCATTTAGATCCATCGCTTTGCAGATAATTGTCGTATGTAATATTATTATCCTTTTCCAACATGAGAGCAGACTCTTTTATAAATATCAAGCATTTTTGATGTTGTCTAGCAATGAAAGCTTTTTGTTACTGAATCGTAGGGCTAACTCATTAGATTCCATCATATGAGTCATCTGTCTAGACCATCTGCAGTTTCTTTTATTCATGAACAGCCTTTTTCTGATGTCTTCCATATCCGCTGAATAGATGTAAATCTCTCATCAGTTCGGGAATTTATCATGTTTTTTTGCTATCTGCATTAATTTTGAGAGAATTGGCCGAACAATCTTATTTTTAGTTACCACACATCATCTTGTGCTTGAATTCCCTTATATATCCTGTCCTTGGAAGTTTGAGTCGCTATTTGTGTATATGTTAGCACCTTTTAATCCCGCTTTCTTAGTTCATGGCTTTTATCGTCCATTAGAGCTTGGATCTTCTTGATATTACTGGATAGAAGCATTCCTTGTTTTTTTTTTTGGTTGCTCTCAGTAGCTATACTAATATGTCAGCCATGCAACTACATAAGCTATGGTTCCGAGTATTACTGCAGTAAAGAGGAAGTAAAGAAGTGAAGTGCTCTGGGAAGTATTGTCTAACGTGATGTAATGTTGTTTGGTCGCTTTTTTTGATCTCATAACTCTTACCTCTGACGCTTATCCGCTCAAAGAACTTTCCAAACTCAAAGGTGAAGTGTGATAAGGGAAGCTTCGCCCTTTACAAACAGATATCTGCTTAGTCCACACCTGTTTTGCGATTTTGTTATGTTTCATATGCAGTTACGCGCGAAAAATGGTTGTGCTTACGATTGTATTATAAAATTCATTTTCCACTGATAATGAGCTCCGCATTGAAGCCTTTCCGCTGGGTAATGACTTCAAAGTGGGTAGAATGTTAGGTTGGTAAGGATGCTTTCGCACATTTCTAGACAATACTTTTCTCGGGATACATCAGTGAAAATCTGCAGCTGTATTCTTACGCGCATGCAGCCAATAGAGCGAGTTAGTAGGAGGAGCTAGGATCAAGGGGGGGGGGCGGAGTTTGCCACTTTACAATGAACTCGTTTTCCTTGTATTCAAGTTCGAATTACATACAGCTTGTAAACAGTATGTAGGTTAAGATGAAGCTTGCGTAAGTGTTATGACGTTTATGGAAGGTGGAGATCGGCGGGTTTGAAGTTCTATGTTTTGAACTTTTCTGTATTCTTGGTGTGCAGCATATCGAAACAAATACTTTGCCGAAATGCAATGTCGGAGAACTCTCTTACCAACTAGAATTACGAAAAGGAAGCAATCTCGATTTTTAGCTTCTTGTTTTCTGTTATCAACTACTTTTCTTATCATGCTTGTATCTGCTGACAGTTGAATAGCCCAAAAAACCCTTTGCACTCCGCTCGGCATTTGTCCTTCTTTTGTGTTAGCTCTTGCGATCTTTAGTTCACCACCGTGCACGCTTTTCGAGTGACTAACCCTTTTTGGTTGCGTTGTGTTGTGTCTCACCATGCCTTGCGTGCATTTATCGGAATTCATGGCTCGTTTCTCCACAAATTTGTTCAGTACATTTTCAGTAGCTTGAGTGGTGTATGCTGCGTGATGCGCCAGCGCAGTCCTCTGCGCCCGAAAAGGTCTCTCAGGTAAATAGATGCTTAATACGCTTTTGTTCTTTTCTTTTGAGTTTGTCAGTTCTGCACTTCCTATTTTGTAGAAACACGAAGTTTCCTCGTGCACAAAATTTTGTTCTCGATCTACATACAAAACCCATTTCGTCGTGACTACCCCTATTTTACTTACGCCCTTTTCTTGGCTCTTTGAATGACGATTATTTTGCATGACGATCCTTCACCCCTCCATCTCTTCAGGTTTCACTCGTGCACGCATCGGATAGCGTTTACACCTTGCCTGCTTCAGCAAACTCCACAACATCCATATTTCCGTCTTCAAATCGGGTACGTTAGCTGGTTTGTTTTCCTGCTATGCGAGTTGTACAGTTCTGCATCATGCCAATTCCCTGTCACTGTTTTGTGGTGAACCTATTCAAAAAAATAAACCTATTTTTTTAACCTAATTCCTTACCTTCTTATCAATGTCAACTTTTTTCTGTACATCGTTTACGCGATTTGCTTTGTTTTCCTCTTTCTACAAACTACTGTTTTTGAAGGAGTCTTTTCTCACTTTTTGACTTTCTAAGTCTTTTGTCAGCTGTGCATTATCTCGTGTGGTAATTCAGTTCTTATCTTGCATTTTAGGTCTTGAATCATTCAGGATTGTAAGTAAATCTATAAACTTAGCGGTCCGTCGATAGGCAAATATTCTTCGTTTTCTAGGCGCTGCGACAGAAGCTGGTTTACTTGACAGCTTTCTGTTGTTCGTTGATCATATTCTTTTGATTTGTCTGAAAGTAAATGCTCTTGATTAGTTAGCTTTTCGGGTTTTTGGCGTGTAATAATCTTCATTCTATTTCTCAATTTACCCCGTGCTCGCGTCTATGATCATTGCCCTGTTTGCCTCTGCCCCGAATGCGCTGCTCTGCTATTCAGTGCTCATTTATTTTCTTCTGAAGATGGACGAATGGACATGCTTAACAATAGTATGTGTAGTATAGAAGGACCACTGTTATTTTACTACCAAACAGTTAAGCATACGCATTTTTTGAGCGGCTCTGATTCTTCTTTAACTCACGTTCTGAGCTAAATTACCTTCAATATTGATTTGTATTAGAGATATCGAAACAAAATTTTATACACATGTAGATTGAAAAAAGGTGACCTGTCATTTAGACCTATTTTACCACTTCTTTGATATTAGATGATGCGTAAGTATTTTCCTTCGCAAGTCTCCAACCCCGTTCTTCGTCATTCGTGATTTTGCAAATTCCTAGAGCACTTTGCAGTGAAAGACTATTCTCTTATCTGATTAAATGTGAGATTTATGTTTAAGGTCGCTCAATCTGTTATTACATTAGCACACTCTTTGCACTCTTTGTTACGTTGTTTGCAGAAATATCCTTCGATTAACTTGAGATTAATGTTGCTTTTTATTGGCAGAGGATGGAAATTTCTTTCAAATGAGCTTTTGAGCTTTTGCTGGCTGATATTATCATGAATGTTTTGTTCATTTTTGTGCATAATATGATAGGGAGGCTGCGCCTGTGCCAAGGATTCTCGCATCATTGCCTTTCTGTTTTCCGAATTTTGCTTCAGTATCTTGTTGTGACAGTTCCTTCGTTCCACAGCTATCTAAGTCTAATCCAAACATTACACAAATGCTTTCTGACGGTCATAGTCGTGATTCCTGTTTATTCAACGAGTGAGGTACTCACGCGGAAGATAGATCGCAATCGAAAACGTTACAATTGCATTCGAGGGTAGCAATCGAAATTGTTGTCCAGTTGTTTGAGTTTACATAGAGCAATGTCGAGAATCGCTTGAAAAGTTTTACAATCGCAATTTTCTCTTCATCTCACAACAGCATAGTGTTGCAGTCAGTCAGTCGTTCTGAAGCTTTTCCTATCTCGTACTGAAAGATCGCGATATAAACGAGTTTCTGATAGCGCGATAGAAAGTACTATTTGTTTTCCCCTACTCTATAAAGAAAGCGTCCTGCAATGACTTGTTATTGGAGCGTCGCTAAATGCTCATTTTCGTCAGGTTTCGTCAACATTGCCCTTTTTGCGTTCTTGAAAAGAAACATTTGTTTTTCCACTCATATAAATGTTGCCCTATTAAGGAAGATATAAATTTAGTTCTGTTAGATACCTATTGCTTTACCGATGTGCAAGTATACGCTATTTTCAAAAAGTTAATTTCTATTCATTTTCAGTCAGTAGAAGCTAAAGAATTTTGAGCGCATCTTGACTGGGAAGTTTTGTGATTTACTGAAATGCAGATCGCTCAAAATTCGACAAAAAAGTCACTGATCGTGAGTACCGGAATTTAGCGAAATCCTCAGCGTGGATGAATTCTGAATCCAATGGCGCCTTCGACTCAGCTCAGCGAGGCGCACCTTTTGGTATGTAAAAGTGTTTGGTTAGCTATTTATATGCGCGCTAGGCAGTCAAATTACACTAATTTTTCAGATTTTTGCTTACGGTGGACTATTAAATGTTCTTTCCGTAGGCAAAAAACCTTGTGTCTGACCGCATACCATATCTGAACTTCTATGTATTAGAAGATGCGTCTCGCCGAGCTGAGTCGTAGAGCCCTGGGATTTAGAATTCGTCTGCGCTGAACCAAGATGTGGCGATACGACGCGAATTTTGGTGAACTCTTGGACTTCGTTGATTTTTTGTTGAATTGGAGCGGTATTGTATATATAATATCATGCGCTCATGAGATCGTATACTTGGAAAGTATGTCAAATCTCTGCACTTGTATCTACAAGAACCACCTTTAGGCGAAGGCGCGATGACAGTTCAAAACCAAGGATGTCATGTAATTTCGAAGAGAGCGTCCAATTGGTGGATGACGCGATGAAACTAGGTTTGGAAACCTTTTTCATGATGTTTCTTCAAGCGCCTCTCATAAAATGCGGACAGAATGGTGTTAATCGCAAGAGGTCGGTATAATTGAAGCAGACTGCTCCTCAAAACCTAGGCCGTATTGGAAGTTCTTGCGTCATTTTTGTTCTTTTCGGTCACTCTAATTTTCATTACGATAAGTTTTTAACTATGCTTTATTGCATCAATTCGAAGCTGGGGTTCCGCGAGACTTTTGAAATGTAATGAAGTGTGTATTGCGCAAGGTGTTGCTGAGGCAGCTGCCTGGCTACGAATCTGATATCCGACCTTTACACCATTTAAACTGAACATCAGCGTATTGGACGTGCGTTCGCGAAGGAATTACTCTTCGATCAGTATCCATGGCTGGCATTCGTACTATAGCTCTCGCTAAATCTAATTTGAATTTGGTGTCACCTGAATTTATGTAGCCAGCTTCTGAAATTTTGATATCCAGGTTCACATAAAATGCTCACCGGCAGTCTTCTTCTCAATGATGTTTTTTTTTAATTTTTTGAAGAAAGCAAGGTTTCAGAATTTACCCTGTAATTCGGCATGTTTTTTGACATGCTGATTTCTCTGATCTGTATTCTACCTATGTACAGCGTTCTGATTTGTGATTGTTTTCACCGATGTAATATTTATCTTCCTGTTCTTGAGACTAGCTAGTATCGCATTAGTTCAGCTGTCTGTTTTCGTAAAAAATAAAAGTACACAAACTATTCAGTTGCTGGTAGCTAACAAGTTTTCGTAATTTGCACAGGTTTATGAGCCGTTTTATTAAGCTCGCAGGGAAGCTCATAAACTGCATTTGATAGCAACCTTCCATATTTGTTCAGTATTATAAATTCTTTTGCGTTTGAGGATGAAATGCGGTATCAAGGAACCGTACAGTTTAACTTTACTGAAAGTTGTTCTCTTTTTTGTTGAATACAGACAAATAATTGTTGAGCTTCGCTTCATCTATTGTAAGACAGTGCTGTTGTGTCTTCGATCATGAACAGTTAGGAACTAAATAAAAAAGCTGGCCTCTACTCTGCTTTTATCTGTTGGCAACGATATGGGGGAGAACTACGGGTCTGCTGAATTAATAACTTTTGAGCTGATTGAATGTTTGTGCGTCTCGTCGATGATTTACTGCTGGTATTCAAGCTTGTCGGTTTTAGGGTACCTTTCTAGAATTTCGTTTTTAGTCTTTTTATTTATACTACTTGTCGTAACTGTTTTGCTCTCATTTATTGTTGGATTTGTTCGTTTTGCAAGTAGATCGGTTGCGCGCATCAACATCCGTATTCGACAGCAGTTTTCCTCGCGATCTATCTTCTTTCCCCATCTTTTGTCGCCCCCGAAAAAGTGGTGTTCTCTATTGATTCTCAGTTTTCTAGGATACGTCTGTCATCGTTCTCGTTTATTCCGCCATTACTGCTATTCAAATAGGCCTAAATTTTCAAAAATGATATCTTATTTTTTGTCAATAATGTTTTACTTTCATTTGCGTATTGTGTAAATCTTTTTCCATGTTCATTCTTCAAAAAACATTCTCGTCACCGTATTTTCGTCAGTAACTTGGTTAAAAGTCATAGTTTTATTCTCTATATCTACTTTTTCACTTTCGATGCTCATTTTGAACAATATTTGGTTAACTCATAGAACATTCCAGATGACAAAGCAGCCGATCCGCGTCATTGCGCAACCACCACCTCGTTTTTCTTCTCCATCGCAACACTATCCAGCATCGTCTGCAACTTCCACTGCACCTACCCCATCAGTGAACACCACCCATTGCACCATTTCCACCCAGCCGAAGTCCTCCTATGCCGTCCCAACGGTTGGAGTTCTACCAGTGGTGAATAGGTGAGTTTTGTTAGAAGTTTTAAAAGTATCGGCCACCCAAACTGAGGTTGGTGAGATTTTGACGTTTTATAGTAACGGAGTCCCTGACTAACTGTTAGTAGTCATCCAGGTCCCATGTAAAAGATAAATTCCGGAGCTAGAAAAACTCCTCAGAAAGTGGAAGCGGCCCAAGTGGCTCCGCCCATCAACCTGTGTGGTCTAAAAATAAGAAGTCCAAAATGGGTTTTAATGTATCGAGAATTGTCATAAATCCGCTGTTCATCATGATTACCAGATTTCGACATTTCCATCCCCGGAAGCCCGCTTTTACTCGATATCTTCAGACCACCCACTTCGATGGGGGGAACCAACACCTGGGCTTCTTCTATTTTCTGGGGCTATTTTCTCGTTTCGGAACTCATCTTTTGCACCAAGAGTTAGGCATCACCTAGTTAGGGGGTTCCGCTGTATATATCATTAAAATACCAGGGTCCTCAGTCTATGCTTTGAAGACTGGTCGTCCAATTCTTAAACTTTTCCTTTTACAGAAGTTATAGCGAGATGGTTGAATTCGCGGAAAGGCAGCGAAAGCAGATCGAAGCAAATCGGTGAGAGTGACGACTTTTCAAGCTGCTGCACTTCTATTTGCACTTGTATTTAGTCGAGAAGTGGACCGGCGACAAGCTATGCTAGCCCACTGCGGTACTGATGCTATTTATAAGATCAAGATGATACGTAGAGACTTGGCAGAAGAGGAATTGGAGCTAAGGAGGTAAATATCCAGTTGACTTTTTTTTCATTTTCCATGCAGTGGACTTTGCAGGCTTTCCGAGCTAGAGTACGAAAGTCAAAGTTTGGCAAAGCGGAATAGTGAAAAGGAGTCGGAACTGAGCCATCTTAGTGCAGAGTTACGTGAACAACAGAACGTACTACGCATTGCAGCCGGAAGAGTGGAGATGCTGCGGCGACAGGTGGAATTGTTATAGTACGTCGACATAATAAAAACAATAACGAAGATTGTTCCAGATCGAGGAACTGTACAGGAGACGACAAGCCGCAGCTGCGGCAGCACTCTCTGAGCACAGAAAAATGCAACAACTGGTGTGTCTACATTTGTATTAGATTGAATTGAAACTTCGTACGCACCATTTTCGAAAGATCGTAACTTCTTAATTTATGAAGGGTTTACTTGCAGTAAATCCTATTAGCTTCTTGGTGGTTCCGTATTACCCAAAGATTGCGGAGATAAAAATCTAAGAAAGAATTCTCGAACCTCAGTGATTTTGAGCAATCCCTTAAAGGCAGCGTACACCCAAAACAAATGCAACAGATGTTGCAACAGCAACTGCAACTGCAATTGCAGCTTACGCTGTTATGGATTCGTTCGGAGGAGGCGGAGCGAAAGAAAAGGGGCGGCGTGAAAAGAAAATTGAGGGGGGTTTTCTCCACTCAGAAGCAACATTGGGAGACCGGTCCAACGCAGTTGGTCTTCTTCTGGGCCCAGTATATACACGGTGTAGAAAGATCTAGGAAATTCGGTAACTCAAATTTTGGGTGTACGCTGCCTTTAAAATTCTAGAAACGTTGCAAAAATCGAAAGCAGTCACGGCATATCTCGACATCTTTGAATAAGCAAAGTTAGTTTGTGCTGATCGATCATAAAAAGTTATGATTTTTGAAGAAAACTTTCCTCAAAAAAATTATAGCTTCTCATAGAAACATCTGATCTCCACAAACCTGCTTAGAAAGAGAAGCTGCAGAATCTATGCTAATAACTTTTAAATTTTTTGCGATGTTTTTAGATTATTAACAGGCTTTGCATGGTTCCTATGAAACTCGAATATTTTCCTTCTTTGACTTTTATCTCCGCCTTTTTGTTTGCGGAACCATCACAATGTCATCAGAAAGTGCATGATTTCCCTTTCTGATAAAGTAATTGCAAGCAAAACCTTTCGTAAATTAGGAAGTTATAATTTCTCAAAAATGGTGCGAACTTTTGATTTAATAACATTTGTGCAAATTAGACCCCAGTGAAGTGCTGTTGCATTCAGGCTCATCGCGTCCAGGAGACAAATCGTATCGCTTCTATCGCTGAGCGACCGAGAGCTTCGGTTGAACCGTTCCAAGTAAATGCTTCAGTGAGAAATGTTGCTGAAGCCGAGAAAGACGCAAAGGACGAGAAATGCACTGTGATCGACGTCTCATTGGACAGGTACTACAATTTATACATTTCTTGGTTCCAATAGCAGTTGCAATAAGGATTAGTTTCATTCAGTCAAGAACAGTTGCTGACGTCCTGAATCGCCATCCCATAAATCATTTGAGAGAGTAGCATCACCTAACCTTGGCGCTTACGCAGTTAATTGGTCCGAGGCGCTGCTATGACGAATGGGTCTAGAGTTTATATCGTTTTGTTGGTGATGTAAATTCCCTTGGAATGTGGCGCAAACCCTTAGAAGCAGCCCCCAAATCTGAGGGTGGTGATATTTTTGAGTTTACTTTGGGGCTCCCCTATTGAACCTTATTAAAATCTCACTATTCTTGATTTGGGTAGGCGGTGGCTACTAAGGAAAAGAAAAGCTTAGTTATGGTTTGGTCTGGTTTCCTCAAGGCATTTCATAAGAGCCGGCAGTAAAATTACATGGAGGTGATTGCGATGTGGTTCTTGTGAATCTTTGATACTTTGCTTGACCTTTGAAGGATTTCAATGCTCAAAATCATGATGTTTGCAGTACGCGGCTTAAAAGAGCAAAATATTTTGTTATAGTATCTCAACGAACACAATTGTTGATGCACGACAAAATGTTAGTCGAGTACTATGTTGTTTAATATGTAACCTAGAAATCCCGGTCTGGTATCACATCCTTCTTTTTCACCTTTCCTTTCCCCTTCATTCCGATGCTGTTGAATGATAGTTGATAAAAGTGATTGCCATATGAGATATGGGAAAACACTAGGTAATTTGGAGTTTAATTCTTACTTGATGTAGTATTGGCGAGTTTTCGAATACCCTGAATGCAGAGATCAAGAGATTAGTTGATGCACGCATGCCTTGGAAGGTACCAAACGTTCCTGTCGATTCTGAGCATTTCCTACCATCAATCATCATTTTGCCTTTTGATTTGTCTTTCTTATTCCATTATTTACAGCGACGAGTCATCGAAACCTATGTCATCTCCGCCAGATGAACCAGCAGACGTGGCTCCAATTCCACCCAAACGTCCTCCTTCACCAGAACCGAGTAACTCAAGCTTGAGCAACCGCTGTGATATCAGTCCGTCACCGCCTAAAGATCCACACCCCACTCTGGAAGAGGTCACTGTGCCTAAAATGGACGTTATAGAGAAGTCTTTGAGAATGAGGGACTTGGTACGTAAATATTTTGTTTCGACTTTGGGCGACTAAACATTTATTTGTGCTGACCTTCAGATATCGCTTCCATCTTTCGCTGATAGTCTAGATGAATCGAAACTTCGGAGTGGCAAAACCGATTTAGTGTCCATCAGAACCGATTCCCTGAAAGCGGCTAAGCGAAGGTAGGCTTGGGAAAGTTTCGTGGAGTGATTTATTCCATCAGTTTTCATGACCAAATGCAATCTTTTGCAGGTCGTGGGCTGCTTCGGAAGGAACGACATCATCAGAGGCTGATACGATTCGTCGTATCCTCGAGGAGCAACGGAGGGGAAGGAATCATTTTATTCCAGAGTTACCCACATCGCACGAGGAACCAAAGGTTGGCATATATTTGAATCACGCTGTACCTCTAGCTGGAATGGTTACAGAGTTTGTCACTTGTAGGCAGTGTCCCAGCAAATTTCGCTTTCCAGTTTATCACCTTTTCGGAGCCTTTTCGTCATGAGGAATCCATATCTGGGTTATTTAGCGCATGAATATGGCATGAGCTTTTCTCGAAGCTTTCCAGGTCCGTATTCGGTGAAATACGTGTAAGTGGGCGGTGTCCGAAACGAGTGAGGCAGGGCGCGGAAAACTGCCGGCGTATTTTCACTGAATGCGGACCTGAAAGCTTTGGGAACGGCTCCTTTTCGCCATTTTCATGCGTTGAAAAGCCCAGATATGAATTCCCATGGCGAGAAGGCTCCGAATAGGTGAAAAAAAAATGAGTGAATAACTGAACAACGGAATTTTGCCGAGACGTTGCCTTCATACTCATTGAATTTTAGGCAGAAACTGCAGACAATGAGAAGGAAACTTCTTCTGAATCAGAAAGAACGGTTGCGACTGATGACGAATCTGTGGCAAAGAGTGATGAAGAGCCAATAGAAGTGAGAGATGACTAGGTGTGGCGCATAACTAGTTTTCATTACTTCTACAGATGGAAGTGGATCGACGAACTGTGAAGGGAATCTTACGTCCATTGGGATTGAAAAAGGAACGACGAAGAATAGAATTTGATCCGCTCGCTTTGATGCTGGATGCAGCCTTGGAAGGAGAGCTGGACTTAGTGAAGTCTAGTGCTGCGAAGGTAAGCTAAGTTTGACTCAATCTACGTTCGTTCCAGCAGCCCTATACCTCGGGAAAGGTTTAGAAAAAGGTTTTTTTTTTGCGAATAGACAGTGTCTAGCTCATTATGCTAATATTGTTCGAGTCGTTAGAATATACATCTTGATCACCATTTCGTCACGGAAATTTGATGGGAATAATTGCCTCCAACTATCCTCGTCAAAGCCCTGAGATAACTTGACAGGCGAATTTCAAAGTTTTTTTCAGCAGATGTGAACTGTGTAACAATGCTGTCAAAGCGGATTTTATGGTAATGCTATAGGCTATGATTTCATGCAGCACAGTTTCAGCTTCCGGACGTTTCCGTTGCCAATGACGAAGGAATCACGGCACTTCACAATGCGATCTGTGCTGGACATTACGAAATTGTCAAGGTGATACTTGAGTTTTGAAATCACAACTAACATTTTAACACCTTGCATGTTCCTAGCGGTAGAGGTCTACATTTTTTACATGAAAAAGGTATAGCACCTGAATTAAGAGTATTTTTTGTTCAAGAAGCTAGTCACCGTATATGAAAAAAGGATATGGGGTTTTTTATGTCTGTAGAGATTACTCACAACCAGTGATGAAGACACTCAAGTCGGTGTGATCTTGTAAAATCTGTTTTTTTTTTCTGGCGAACTGTAGAAGAAAGGCTTCTCAAAAATCAGTTGTAAAGACTTGCTCTATCAGCTATCGTGAGAAATATTCAATCTGGAAGGTTTAGTTCCTCATCGAAGCGGATGCAGACGTGAATGCTCAAGATTCTGACGGCTGGACTCCTCTCCATTGTGCCGCTAGTTGTAACAATCTGCCAATGGTAACTTCTTTTTTTTACCTAGTCTATAAGTTGAAACAACTGTCTTATCAATTAGGTACGGCAACTAGTAGAAGGAGGTGCATGTGTGCTGGCTTCTACTTTGTCGGATATGGAGACCCCTGTCGAAAAGTGCGAAGAGGATGAGGAAGGCTACGATGGTTGTTTGCGGTATTTGACTTCTGCTCATAATGCGACTGGCACCTTGAATAATGGAGTGGTTAGTTCTGGCTTTTTTGATTTTTTTTCCATCATCTGATGCTTTTCTGTAATCTGCAAGCTGAATTTTTTAGGTCTACGCTGCATATGACTACGATGCACAGTTTGCCGATGAACTGTCTTTCAAAGCAGGAGACGAGTTGAGAGTGATCAGCAAAGATGACAAGGAGAAGGTCTACAGTAGACATTCAGATGTCATAGCAGTATTGTTAGCTTCCTTTTCTTCAGAACTGGTGGACATGTGAACGCATTGGACATAACGAAGTCGGACTTGTACCACGTACCTATGTTGCGCTTTATCCAGCATTGCGGTTTAGGAAGAGGTGAGAGATACATTTGTTGTCACAGTTGACGATAGAGCTAAATCTGCAAAAAAATCGTAGTTTGTTGAGCTGTCAAATACGAACATTCTTATCAAGTTGTGCATAAAAATTGCTATTGTCTTATCGTTATTATTTTGAAGTTGCAAAGTTCTACGGATTTTAGCTCACAGGTTAGCTCTAAATCAAGGATCTTGCGCGCTAACAATCTTCTTAGAGCAGTGTAATCGAGTGCTGTACAAGTCGCCATGTTCCCAGTATAAAAATATGTGACTATGAGAGTCACGTTTGGAAGCTAAAATCAGTTAAGATCTGCATCATTGTCGCTATTTTTCAAATTGCTGATAAATTGCATCCATCCCTGGTTCCCTCCTCGCCCTTCTCTCTTTCACAAGAAAGCGGTTCGACATAGGAGTCGCGTAAATTACTGGCAAAATCAAGTTGAACTTTTTTACGATTTCGGAAAAAGGTAGTTATTTGTAGACCTGACTGATTATTGGGAATCGGAATCCCTTTTGGTTGCCCTGAAATTTCTTTGGTAAACGGAAAAATCTGCGAAATATCGACTGCACCATGTGAAATTTCCTTTTGTCGAAGACAATAGGAAACCCTTTTTTGTCTCCCCTCCCCCTTTATCAGGAACGAGATAATGTAGTACATAAGTGTAGCGGTATTTTCATTTGAAATCCAAGTTATGAACAAATTGGAAGGATTTGACCAATAATTTTTGCTTTTATTTCTTGGAAAATCTGCTGCAAAAAGCTCACGTGCCTCAAGAAAAGTTGCCGATTGCGACTGTATCCCACCTTCCTTGGAATGCCTTTGAATAGATGAAATTTCGAACATTGAATGAATATATTTTGTTTCATGTTTTGTGAAGTTTATATACCAGTGCATGTTCGACTCATTGGTATCTGAGCATTTTTATTGAAATATTTACCGGATTTGTAATATGAGATTTTGTTTCCATCAATAGTCTTGACTATTTATATGTATGCTTGGTTCCAGTGGCAGCATTTTATGTAATGCTTGACGCATGTGGTCTTCATTACATTCGTTTTGTTTTCCAGAAAGAACTTCGTCATGTTTGATTTGCCGATGGATCGTCGAATCAATGAAATGGATTAGATTATGACAGCACTAGCATGCTACTCGTTCGGGTCTTTCCTTTTCAGTCTTTCCGGATCCATGTCCCCTCAGTCTCCTGATTGATGTACGTTTCATACTAATTGAGCTGTTTTGTATGAGATATCACCTGTTCAGTACAGATTTTTTATTGCTGGCTCGAAGCTTATTAACATAATCTCATCTGCTATGCGCTGCTCTTCATTGGGATAGCTGCGCTGTGGCTCCTCTTCTCTTTCTACTGTTGTTAGAGTTGCAAGACAAAATATTCTTTCTCAAATTGTTATGTATAATTTATTGTATAGAGTGTCGAACGTTTTGTACCCGTTCCAGATAGCCTGTACACTGTTTTTCGTCTTCCCAGACGGTTGATATGCTCCCCCAGCAAGAGTTGCATCATCAGTGCCCTGTTCTCTAGTGTCTTTGATTGTGTGTTGCATTGCTCCGTGCACGCTGTGATTCTTCTCATCGTCCTCCTCGCCGTATATTTGGTCTAAATGAATTGGCATTGCTCAAGGCGTTAACTTTATCAGAGGGAGAGAGAGACGAATAAATTTGATTTAACGCCTCGATGGCTAGCGTTTCATTAGCGCGCGGCGCTCGCGGCGGATATCTCGGACGTGACGTGACCGCGACTCGAGAAGATAGATGTGTGAAAAACACACATCTTGGTACTGAGAGCTGTTCGCTTGAGGAAGTAAGCGTCCTTCGAAATTGCCAAGAGGTGCTACACTAGCTACATATTCGGTCGGTCTTGCAACTAACTTCGTAATTTTTCTCTTTGACTGCCACAAATTTTTAGGCATAATGCTGATTAGGTATTGTGCTACAAATGTGCGCGAGCAGTTCAATCTTTGGTAGCGAACTGGAGAATTTTACGCGTTTTTCGAGAGGTGGTCATATTTGAGATTTCGCAGTTTAAAAAAACAAAAATAAAGCTTTTCTCAGTCTGAGTCAAACGCGACAAGCCGAAACTGTTAGATTCGTTGAAAGTTCCTCTATTAACTGTTTCGGCTTGATGTGTTTGATTCAAACAGAAAAAAAGCAATCTGCTCGCGCGCATTTGTAGCTCACTACGTAGTCTACATTATGCCCCAAAATGAATTCGTCGCACTCAAATAGAAAAGTTACGAAATTAGTTGTAGAGCTTATGTGTTAACCTAAACATAGCCAGACATCTGGCAGCAGACTATTTCTGTAGATAAGCTCGATCTGCCCAGTCAATTAGTGAAAGTACCCCATAAGCTGAGCCATTGATTCAGGCAGTAAAGCTAAGGCATGTACATGGGGAACAGGTGCAGGAGCTCTGAATGGCTTGACACAGCTGCATTGAATAGCTTTCATGGATATCGCAAGAGATTTCGACTTCTGTTATCTAGTCAGCAGCGATGGAACTGTGCGATTTCGATTGATATGTATAGACTAACTGTCCACGAGAAGATATTTGCAATTTCCAGATGCACCGTACTCTCACGATTTTTGTGAGATTGCCTTTGTGGAGTATTGCCTTTGCCTCTGTCAAGCAACATATATATGTGAAAACAATCTTATCTAAATAGAACGTCCGCTTCCCGCTTCTCACTAATTGCACCTTGGCAACGTTCCAGAAAAAAAGCAATTCCTTTGAATAAGATAAGCCTTTGAATCTAAATATCCGTAAGTGCTCAGTAATGTTTTTTTAACGAAATTGTCTATCATTTATTCTGTAACTAATAATAAGCGACTCTAAAGCTCTTTGCACAATGTCTAAACATGCTTGGACTTGTTCTTTTCTGTTTTAAAGTAGCAAATAGTAGTAGATCGGTAAGATCTCGACTATAAACTTGTCAACCATACGATCAAGCTTGTTTTAACAATTGTGCAAAGCTCTTAGCTCTTGGGTCTCTTATCGTTAGTTACTCATTGTCAGATGACAATATTCGCTTGGGACATAAATCCTGCAGCAAAAACCTCACAAATTCATTTGAAAAGCCTGTTAATATTTTTTTCATTGCTTACGATTTATGCAGTATTTTATTGTATAGGTTAGAGATTTACTTCAAACAATATAAAATTCGAAAATAAAAATTTGAAAATTACAATTTCGAGACGTCCTACCAGCACATAAGAAAACGTAGATTGTAAAAATCATACAACTAATGAAAGTAGATAGTTCTGGGCCTTTCGCATTTTTGGGATCAAAAGTTGGAAAAAAGCAATAGTGTGCGCTCAACAGGTTCCATTACCGCCATATGACAACGGTGTTTCTTGCTTCACGAATATTTAGAAAGGGTAAGAATTCCTATCTCTAAATTGTATTAAAACAGGTTCGTTGATTTGGAGGAGATTACGGGATTTTGAAAAATTTTGGTTTAAGGCTTACGTTCCAACTACTAATATCTATTTTTCATAGAAAAATTGAGGTCGATGAGATAAAAGGAGGATTAATCCTTTTTATAATGATAGCGACTGCAGTGGGTATTATGAGAGGAACTTTTTCGGTTACCGTATTATCCATGATTCTTCTCAGGACTCTGATTGGTTGTATTTCGTTTTTTGGGGCTGATAAGAGATTAGCTTGCTTTGTGCAGTCTTTTCAAAACTATATATATAAAGCAGAAAATCTGTATGTCTGTGCAGATTTCCCATGGTCATAAAGGGCATTTTGATCTACTGGTCATCAGGACATGGTAAGGACGGTAGGAAGCGCACTCAAGAGATTCTGAATCAGAAGGAGGATAGGTTTCGCTATCTGAGAGGTCAGCCACGATGGACTGGCTCCAAACCGAGGTGGAACCCGGGATGCCAGCTTGTGAATTAATAATTTAGACTATTTTGAAAATAAGTTTACATGGTTAGATTATTTATTGATATTCAATGTGAAGAAATAGCTAAGAAATCAATCAAATGTTTCAAGTACGTAGACTATTAGGTAAAGTTCACCTCTGTCCAATAAATATTACTGAATGACAGTCTTAGCATGAGGACAATAGGGTAGCAAAATAATTCGTGCTTTTATTGAGTTCCAAAAATTTGCTCCACTTTCTTTGCTTAGAAACTTCAGCATCTTTAGTTTAGATTCGCGCCTGTTGAATAATGATTATTCAAAATAAAAAGACTATGAGGTTGAATGAATGAATGAACACTACACTTGAAACTATCAAAAAAAGTTTGCAAGCACCTGCAAGAATTATCGAGATAGAAGAGCAGAAAGTGCACGCCCTAAATAGGCATTTATATCCGTCAAGTGATAGTTGTCCGCTTATGACGTGTGCTCTCTCGATGTAATCGTTCAAGTGTGTTTGTCGATTAATCCGGTAAACTAAGCAGCTAATCTCCTCCACTCCCCTGTCATCACCACTCTATCCGAATGGGAGGTTTCCTTATCGATCAGTCTTTATTTATTTATTTTGAAGTATGGATTGCGAATATTGAGACATGGCTAGGAGATTCACAGATGCATCGAAATTCTTTACTTATGTTTAGGAAGGGCCGTACTAACTTTTTCTCGCTTTCTGGCCAATGTTTAGGAGCTAAACGGGGATGAGATTTTTTCGAATTTTATTATCATTTTTTGTTCATGTGTTCTTCACATTGTTGAGTTTCTGGGAGCTTTTGATTTGTGTCTGAGGCTATGGCCAAAAGTGTTGCTTCAGTTCCTCTCATCAGTAACTGATTTTTCACCTTACATTTCTGAAAAGTTTCGCGCCAATCCTATCTTTGATAGTAAAGTTCTTCTTCTTTGAAATGTGATAATAAGGTAGAGAATTCTTTTTGTTATACTTTTGTCATATAATCTATCAGGAAAATCGCTCGTGCACACAGGATAATGCGAATTGTTTGTTTAAAGCATCCATCTGCGTGATTATCACACTGCCTAAGGAAAAAACAAATTTTCTTTCGTCCCTATCTAGATGAGTGGCCCTAACGCAACAACAAAATTATCTTGCAAAGTTTGGGAGGTGAAAAAATTGTGGGCCAGAAATTTTCAGTCTAAATCGTTCGAATTTTCAGAAGCAGTTTGTCTAGAAAATTCGTTGAACATTTATGAACACTCTTTTGGAACCCTTTTTCCTAGAATACCAGGCTATCCCTTTTATCTCAAATGCAATGCCATATCAAGTATGGAGTCCGAGAAATTCTGTGACAATCACTTCAGACGAAAGAGTAGTCCGTACGGCTTCTTAGCGAGGTAATGCAAAAATATGTCAAAATTTAGTGATTCAACTGCAAGTGTAGGATGAAAACTGCTCTTGGTTCACATTCTTGCCCATTCTCCTTCCTTTCTGGCTTGTAAATCGAAATTTTACACGAAATTTTCGGTTTTTTTTTCTAGGAGATTCTTAGACCATGGAAGATTTTGTGAAAGATTCTAAGGCTTTGAACAAGAAAGCTTGGTGATATTATGCAAGACGTCCGGAAAATCGCTGAACGGGCCGATACTGAACGGGGCTTTTGCGGAATGACATCGCAAATCTCGCAATGACTGATGAGCCTAGCCGCTCAGCAACAGCTAGCTGTCGAGGCCAAGTGACCAAGTGGCCATCAATATGTTTCATATTCGCATTTGAATGCATCTTACGAGCGATACACTTAGCCAGCAACTCGTTTTTTTATCTTTATGCTCTCAAAAAAAATCGTACTGTTTCTGGCTTCGAAGGCGCTCTACCAAACCCTTCAATTTCTTGCTTGCGCAAAAAATTGACTATAGATCACTCGTCAAAAAAAAAGAACTAGGATTTGATTAAAATGGAGAGTTTTTTTTGTAATTGTTTCCGTGCAATTCTCTGCAGACAGATTTTTTCGTTTCTGTGTAACGCTAGTTTTGTTGACTTTTGTAATCAATTGAGTTGGTTTCGATTTGTAGACAAAATTATTTTATTTTATTCATCATTTTTATTTTTTCTGCTAAAAAATAAAAATGATGCCAAGCGGCAATGATTTATGCAAAATTTAGTCATCCAAAATTCTTTAGTTTTCCGCTTAGCTGTTTCAGCCGCTTGTTGCAAAAATTAAAAACCAATTTTTTGAGTGTATGATTTTTGGACGAACGATTGCTGTAATCAACAATCTAAAAAATTGATGATCTGCTCTCCAGTTCAGCTTTCCTCTAAATTAAACTGGGTTCACCCCATCTGTCCTTGTAGCCTAACAGGGTCAATTTTTTTAGGTCGAGTTTTTCTATTTCTTTTTCATACTTGCCCTTTCCACTTACCATAGTTTACCGTCCTTTA